TTGCTCTACAATGCTAGAAAGAATTGCACTTTAGTCCCAGCAGCAAAACCAGTAAGGCACAAAGGGCATCACCTCTGTCTAATTCACAGGCGACCAAAGGTAAAAAAAAGGAGGAAGCAGGCTAAAACTTAGCAGAAACTGTAAAAACTGCTTTCTCACACTTTTTTTTTTTTTTTTTTTTTTTAAGAAGAAAGAACCACCCACCTATTCCCCAGGATGAGTATGTGCCAAGGTATGTTGAGAGAATAACTTTGATGACCTCCCCAACGCCGCTGCCCAAAGGCTCTGCTCAGCAATAACTAGGCTCTGTGCAGTGTCTGCTGTTTCCCAACGGGTTCGGGGCTGCGTCTGAAGCACAGGCAGGTCCATCTCCACATGAGGAAGAGCTTCCTCACTGTGCGGGTGACAGAGCCCTGGCACGGGCTGCCCAGGGAGGTGGTGGACTCTCCTTCTCTGGAGGTGCTCCAGACCTGCCTGGATGCCGCCCTGTGCTCTGGGTGTCGGAGCAGGGGGTTAGGCTAGGTGATCTCTAGTCTCTCCAACCTCAACCACTCTGTGATTCTGTGATTTCCCAGGGAAATGGGGCTGCCACTATGGAGCCYGTCATTTGAACCTGCGTTCACCCGCACTGGGAGTGCATGGACCTCCGCATTCCTCCTCTCCTGAGAGGAGTGGTAAAAGCAACATCAAGTGCCCTGGGTTTTACCTAGGTGTTTTACTGAGATTTGGGCAAGAAAAACAGCAGCAGAGGAAGAAAGAGATGATTGATCCAGCCTCTTCCACCAAAACAAGGACAATAAGAAAGCTTTTCTTTGTCTGGTTGCATTTGCCATTTGCCTTTAAAGAAAAGAAGACAATGAAGAGCATCATGAAAAAAAAATCTGGGTACTATTAAAAACCAAAAATGTTTTCCAAATGCAAGGCTGATGACACAGTATGCTCAATGTTGTGTTTAAACTCGAGCCACACACAAGAAGAATCTGGCTCAGGCATTTGACATGCAGGATTTTCAAAGGCTTTAGTGTCGTGACGGAAGWGGAGAGCGCGGGACGCCCGATACAGGAGGAGAGCAGGGCAAGCTGCTCTCAACAAACACTCGTCTCCTGAACACCTCATATTTCTCAATTCAAAATACCACATTCTGGTTTTTCAGGAGAAAAGCCAGACTAGCAACACCGTTCGCTCTTGCCCTCAACAAGGAGCCCCAACCCATCCYGCCCACTGGAAGGTCCCTTCCAACCTTAACCATTCTGTGATACTCTCCTCCCTTGCTGCTCTCACTCACCATTTGCCCAGAAAAATCTTCCAGGAAGCTTCTCAAAGGGCACCCCCTTATCAGTCAGTATTTTCAGTGAAGARGAAAAATAAAAGAGTGAATCTCCCCGCAGGCTACAGCGCAGTCCCTAAGTGCATCCCCAAGGGACACACTATTCTCCTCAGGAGCTGCTCTGAGCCCTTCCCAGACTGCCGGGCACGAGGGGAGCCCGGGGCCCGTCACCACCTCCCTTCCACGGTGCCTGCTACGCTGGTTTTTATATGAAATGGATTATTTATATGAATTGGATTGACTGAACTCTTAAAAAAGCTCCAAACCTCCTGGAATTACCTCCAAATGATGCCAAGCGGTGCCCACCCCTGTGGGGGGGGTGGAGGGACGCATGTCCCACTAGATGTCACTGCGGAGCCCCAGGACCTCAAACGACTTCACAACCTCACTGAAGCTGAAAATATTCTCATCCAGCAAAGCCTTCAATGGTTATATTATTTTTTTTTTTTAAACCTGGATAAACCCATTACTTAGTGCAAATTTACAAGTCTAAACAGATAAAGCAGTACCTACATAAAATATTTCTAATGATTTCCATGAGCTCTTTCCCCAAGCCAGACACGAGCCGTTCAGGGCAACTTAAACGTGCGTCACCCAGCAAACACGTCTGCGTGCGCGAGGCTCTCGCGCTGGCGCTGCCCTCCCTGAGTTCCCGATTTGCGCTACAGAGCTGAGAAACAGCTCGTAAACACGACACCAAATCCACCCCAGCTTGAATGCAGGGCGTACAGCCCGCTGACCACCTTGTGGATACGAGGATTTCTCACTAAATTTGGGTGTTTTCTCTGTTTTAAGCGCTGCGGGAAACCACTGCGTTCGGAGGCAGGCTCAGCGCCGGACACGCACCGAGGTTGTGTGGGGAGCGGGATGAAACTTTCAGGATCAACCCAAGCCCCTCACTTGGGTTTTCCTCAATGCGGCTTTCCCAGCGCTCTGCTCCCAGCGGGAAGCAGATCCCTGCCTTTAAATAAACCAGCCTGTTAATCATTCACGAGCGAACAGGCAACATTTCAGCAAAGGCCACAGCCCAGCAGCCTCTGACCCCTCAACCCCGCACCGGGAACAGCAACTTCCCCAGACTCCACAGGGCACCTCTCAATGCCAAAGTACGCTCTGGCCTCTCACGTATCTTAGCGCCTCAAGTTTGAATGTTACTTTATATAAAYGCCAGAAAACAACTACTTAAAGCACGACTGCAAACCATACATTCAACTTCCAAACCACGAGCTGCTGGAATATGATTTTGCCCGTGCCCAAGAGCTGGAGCTGCCCTGCTGTCGTGAGCGGCTTTCCTGCACAGCGCGAGCTCGAAGCGAAGGGCTCCTTCTTCATCAGCAGCCAGCGCATTGCTGAGGGTCGCTGAAACGCACAGACCCAAACACAAATCCCACTGAATTCTCTTTGAGGTCCCGTAGGAAGCGTGTCCTGCCCACGGGGCCGGCAGGGCCAGGCCGGGGCTGCCTCCCCATGCGCCCGGCAGGATGACAAGGGCAACGGGCAGGTTGTGCCGTGGCCAGAGGCAGAAATTCCCCATTTCCCAGCAACCGGGCGTATTGCCAAGGCCGCTGGCTATTTAGTGAGGCCTGCGACTTTAATACCAGCTTTATTAGTCAGAAACAAGAGCAAACTGATCTGAAAAACACTAAGTTTCCTCTTTTGTCAAGGGACAGCCGTGCTTGGAAAGAGTCTTCAAGGGAACAGATGAGCTGAACCGCTCTCCCCTGTTCCTGCTCTTGGCCACGCTTCCACAGCCATGCTGCGGATCCTACTCTTTCCTAACACATTCAGGAGCATTTAAACAGCAGCAGGGAGGGTTTCTGTGAGTCTGCTGGGAAAAAACAGSTCCAAAAGCTCATTTAAAAGGGAACTCTGCAGCAATCCCCTGTGCAGTAACCTGCTCCGGCTGATACTTAGCTGCATAATTCAGCGCCTAAGTCTAAGGAAAGCACAAAACAAAACAGTAAGTGTTATAAGCCTATTAATAGCTCCGTGAATTTAGGACAAGCCATACTGGTGCAAATGTTATTTAACAGCTTTGCAGTTTTCGTGCTCAGTTGATTTGACATTATGAAGCTA